TGTCCCAGCAAAACACAACCACAGAGCCCATGGACTAAAGGTGGGGCTATTGTTCACAAGTGTCCCTCCTGGTGTTGGACAAGGCCTGGGCACTCACTCAGGCTATAGTTCTGAATCCACCCTTAGCAACCCATGGAAAGGGAAGGAGACCATGTCAAGAGAGGGGCTTTAGCTTCAGGGAAAAATGAAGATACCAAAACCAACATGTAGGAGGCTTTTTAGAGAAGACAGCTTTGTCTTCACTTGGCTTCATGAGACGCATAGCAACCCCAAACCACATATAAGTGGGGATCTGGACAGGCTTTAATAGCAATGCCATATTCTTAATTCATTCTGGTGAAAGCCTTCACACACACACACACACACACACACACACACACACACACACACACCCCAAAGTTAGAAGAATAAATATAAACCATAGGAGTTTACAGATAGGATAAATTCAGGACCATCTAATACAGATATGGAAATTAAGACCCAACACTTAAATGAATTCTCCAAGTGCTGGAAGAAAAGATATTCCAGCCCTAATTCAGGGTCCTCCATATGTGTTCTCATGGTTTATTGCTTTTCCCAAGTGACCATGGAATAAAACTATTTGAGTGTCATTGTTTGGGAGTGTAAAGGCGGTCATCTGGTGCAGGATTCTCAAACAGGATAGTGACACCTTGACCCAGCCGCTTCCTGTCTTTGACACATTTTCCCTGACTCTCCATTGGAAATACACATCTGTCCAGTGTGCAAGAGAAGCAGTGATGACAGAATGAGGAGTTCCTGTTTTTTCCCTCCTGAAGGTCAACTTCCCCACCAACTCTGCCTTTAGATACAGGCGTGATCAAAACAGACTCAGGCTTCTGCGCTCCTTACATGGTGCCAGGGATTGATTGCAAGAATATTTTGTAGTAGAACCTCATCTTCCAGCTCTGCAACCCCAAGAAAGGGTCAGACCTGCAGAGGGATAAGACTTGGATATTTATGAAAATATCTTCTCAAGGATAATCATCCTTAAGAATTTTGGGTTTTATTTAAAATTATAAGATATACATAGATAAATGATAGGTTTGGCTGGCATTTGAGCTAAGTGGCATGTGCATATAGGAAAGTGAGCCTGGAACTTTGATTGCCACTTCTGGGAAAATGGAGCTGACTCTGTATTCCTCTCTGTATTGTACCTGGTTTTACATCCAGATATCAACAGGTAAGGAACCAGTATGTTGTGCTGGGAAGAGCGATGGACTACGCAGGGCACAAGTCTTCTTCACCCTATTCTAGCCTACCTAACTCTGCTCTCCTCTTCCCCCATCAGAATAGAATTTAAGAAATACCAAATGACAAGGGCTGCTTCTAATTGAAGATGGGCAATGGAGAAAAGAAATGGTTGAACTATGTTTTCATTTTATTAAAAACAGTAAAATTAAAATTTTTTAAATTCAATTATGTGCCAGGAACTTTGTAAAAAACTTGTTTTTCTTCTTTTATCTTAATTGTTTCTTACAAGACTCCTATGAGAGAAATTTTTTAATACCTTATAAACGGAAGGCACAAAGACATTTAATAACATGCCCAAAAATGTAGTTAGGAAGTAGCAGACTTGAGATTTAAAAGAGGCTTTGCCACTGGAAAGAAAAAAAACAAAAGGATTTTCTACGTAAAGAATTTTGTTGAAATATAATTTATTCCTGACAGGTCAGGAAAGAGGCAAATCCCTAAGAAACCAAGAGGTTGCCTAAAGCTGAACTTTCTGGAACCAGTCAGAGGACTAAAATAGCATCCAATTCCCACTTATTATCACTGTTGTGTGTACGTTGGTAAATGAAGAAGTGGCCGATTAATATTGCTCAGTGAGAGCCTTTTGGCTTGGCTACTTGTCAACCAGACACAGTTATTTCTTGGTCTTTGGCCAATATGGCACAGCACACTGTCTCCATGTAAGTAAGTGAATACACAGAATAGATGTACGTGTATGTTAGTGTGTATGTGTGAGTGTGTGTATGTGCACACACAGCATTTATGCAGTCTAAGGGCATAGCCCACAGGCACACCTTGAATTCTTAGCTAAAATTCTTTTCTTCCCCTAAGAGATTATGTAATTGTTGTAGTCATTCTTCTCTTCCTGAAATGGCTTTGGGAGGGATATGGACAGGCAGGCTGGGACTTAAGCTCCTTGACTGGTCCAGGCATTAAAGGCTGGTGACAGACACCCTCTGTGTTTGTGGGTGCTGGTAAGAAAGGAAAGCAGGGCCTCCCCGGTGGCGCAGCAGTTGAGCGCTGGGTTGCGAAGCTGCCCGCGGCCTCTGCGGTGCCGGTTCGATCCCCGGCTGCTCCCCGGCCACCGGAGGAGGGTCCCACATGGCGCGCAGACCTCTCCTGCCGCCCGCTGCTCCCCTCAGCAGTGTACTTCGGTCCTTCTGCCTGTTCTGCACCCCGCTCTGGCTCTGGTGAATTCTCTCACCCTCCCGCGCTTCTGACTGTACCCAGTGCATGTATAAACAAAACAAACAAACAAACAAATAAATAAATAACATGCCTCTATAAAAAAAAAAATAAAAAAAAAATTAAAAAATTAAAAAAAAAAGAAAGGAAAGCAGCAACAGTTACACAGAAAAAGGCTGTCCTTTGTCATCAGAGATGAAATCTCCAGGGAGAGGGACCAGAAGAGAAACTTTACCCATCTGAACTACCTGTGTGCTTGAGCCATACCTCCTATACCTGGCTGATGTGCATCTATCATACTCCCAGCCTAAGGAATTCTTGCTCGGCCCTCCTAGCATCTAGACTAGAACTTGCTGTTTAAAGTCAAATTGCCCCTTAATGTTCAACGTTCAGTGGCTAGCTCTTGGGCTCGTGATGCCATTGCCATAACTGGACTGGTCTAGAGGAACCTGTCAATCCTTTTGGAAAATGGGACCTTTCTGGTTTTTGAAAGCAAAAAAGATTTCTGGAGTCCAGTCTGCTGAACCTTTTGTGTAAATTCTGATAGCAAACTCCTTGTGCCATTATTCAACACTTGATGTAAGAATTCTGTTTAAGAATAACATCCTCGACTGTAAAGTCCGGCAGTCAAAAAAGGGAAAAAGAAAAAAGGACCTTTACTTATTGGCAAATTAATTAAAAAGACAGTCTCAGGTGTTCACTCTCCTTGCCTCTCTGCCTCCCTTCCCTCCCTCTTCCTCTGTTCTCTTTTCCTCTCTCTCTCTCTCTCTTTCCTTTTTTGTTCTGCTACTTCCACTGTTGATTCTATCTTCCATAATTCTTCCAGGGCCTTGCTTTATTTTATGGACTCTGTCACAAAAGACCAGTCAGTCCAATCATGGAAAATTTAAACCTATCTAGTGATCAGATCAAAAGAACCCAGGGTTCTTCTGTTTTAAGTCCCCGAAGCATATTTTGGGTGTGGGGTGTGGAAGAGGAACAGGGCAATAATTATAAAGATCCTTGAGGGTGGAGACTATGATTCCATCATCTTTGCACTCTCCATGAGACCTAATATAGTGCCCCCTGTCATTCTAGGAATATCTATCAAGAGGCACTTACACCCAGAATCAATGGTGAACAAAACAGATTGGGTGCGTGCTCACAGAGCCCTCAGCTCATGGGCAAGAAGGAAATTTGATTTTAAAAAACCCCAAGAGAGAGACTTGAAGCCTGAGGAGGTCGAGGCAAATGGCAACACCTCAGAGTCTCCTAGTGCCTTGCAAATTACAAGCCGGTCAACAAAGCAATGCCCTTTCTATTTTTAAAACAACTGGCATGTCACCTCTACTGTGTGCAAAAGATGTGAGCGAAATCCTAGAAATGTCATCCAAGTCTTTCATTTTACACAGTGTGGGATGAAAATTCCCATATGAGCTGCCCACGACCCTTTCACTAGGACTAGATACCTCAAATCAGGCTCCTGGCTCCCAGTCCAGAGCTCTTTGGACTCTCACCACTGGAAGAGCAGTTGCAGTAGTCCCAGCAGACACAGGATGGTGATCATGGGATCCTGAGACATAAAGGTCAAGGGATTATCCCATATTCAAATGGTAGGTAATGGGTTGGCGATAAAAGTTTTTTAAAATTGGACATTTAGTACAAGAACTCAGTACTGCTCTGGAGAAAGGCTTGCTACAGAACAAAGAGTGAAGCAGGCCAATTTCCCTTTTGTCTATGTGCAAAATGGAAACAAGATATAGAAGTCATAACAATACTGTGGCGATGTGATAATAAATCCAAAGTGCGCTTTACGGGTCTATAGATTTCATCCATTAGCTGGGTAAGAGCTACAAGCAGCCCTACGTTCTATCATCACCCCATCTGGCGTGACGCAAGGCACAGACCTCAGTCACAGGTTGACAGTGTTAAGGGCCTGGGAAACCCCTGGAAGTTAGTGCTGCCTGAGCAGCTAATCTCTGGGGTGCCACCTTTTCCTCTCTTCTCTTTCTAATACTGTGACATTAAGTGAAAAAATAACCCTCTACTTCTCATCCACCTTAGCATGTCCCAGTAAACAATGCAGGTAGAGTTGATCAGAAAGGCAGGTAAGTGAAAAGGGGATTCTACATTCTCATTCATTCTAGTATCTGCAGACTTAGAAGGGAATCTGGGTAATAATGCAAGAGTTTAACTCTCTATTTGTTAAGCAATGATGGTAAGAGAACATTTTCCAATATTGCCAGGGGATGTCTCTGAGAAGAGAGGCCTGTTAAGAAGGGAGAAAGTGGTGCTATTGATTACAGATCAAACCTCCATTCCTTCCCCACCTCACACCTCTTAGGGGACGAAAGACTGGAAATGTCCCTCCAACCTAAATAAGATCTCACTCTGCCACTTTGATGATTCTTAGCTCCTGCTTTGTGTGAGTCTCTTTGTCTCTGAAAGAAGATGCTTCGTGGAAACATCATAGGAAAAAAAAAAGTTGTTCCCAGACAATGAAGTCGTTTGAGTGTGGACATTTCCAACACAGGCAGGCGACAATGCCCGCAGAATTCTCAACCTGTTGCTATAGTAGCAGAAAGAATGTGATTCCAGCAGCTCCCAGCTGAGATCCACATCCAAATCCCTGCGGCTCCGGGAGAAAATATTAACCCATCAGTGCCCTTCCTCAGAAGCAGAAACACCAGGTAAGATATCAAAAATTTCCTTAGGAGCTGAATGTTGTCATCCTAACATTCACCTATTTATTCATTCACCCAAAACTATTTGTTCACATTCTGTTATGCCAGCTCATAGGTTTTCTGCGGTAAACATGCAGACATAGCTCTTGGTGTTGAGCAAAAGGATGATATTAAATCATTGCTCAGATATTTTATGTACCATCGATATGATGTAGCATCAGTTTTCAGTAAAGACATCACCAGAAGGGAAACAACATATCTGTGATAATCAGATTATATATATATATATATATATACATTAATCACACAATTATCTGTTTCCATGTGTTAGTATGACAAAAATACCAATCAGATCATGCCTCCTGCAAAGCACTGATTTAAACGAGGTGTTTAATCAAGTCAGTTTTTCACATAAAATAGAAACAGCATTGTTTGTCGGAGAAGCGCTGGAAGCAATTGCTGAATAGTCACCAGGCAACAGAAATGGCAGGTGAAGTCTCAGAAAATATACAAAAGCAGCACAGTCATAAGGACCTGGGGAGTGACTTTTCAACAGTCCCCACTCCAACTTACATCTGTTTCAAGACAGATGGAACCTTAGGAAATCGGATTTAGAAATGACCTATTATCCAGCTTACTTTGCCTTACATTGTGGTGCAATCTCGTATGATCGAACACCTTCCTGCTAGACTTGTTTCCCTTGGAGAATTAATAGGGGGAGGTTGGAGTTTCTTAGCAGGATGAAGTATATAGGTAATGATATCCTCACAAGCTTTTTGGGAAACAAGGCAGCATCAATCAGATTTTCAAGGAAAAGCTAAAAACCAAGAGGGCAGGTTGCTAATCTTGGTTGGCTACTAGATGTGGTCTCAGGGAAGTCATATAATCCTTTGTACTCTCAGTTTCATCAGAGGTATATCTGATACACCATGGAGCTCCAGAGGCACAGAATGAGCAATGCCTACAAATCAGTGACCTGAAATAAAGTATTCCATTATTATTCTCAGTAACACCATAAAACACGGTTTTTCTGCCCTGGAGAATATTGGAGAACCTCAACTGTACTTTCAAACTCTGGTTTCTTATCTCCACTAGAGGCAGAAGCACAAGCCTTTCACAAAACTAATCAGGGAAAGAAGTTTCATCAGGGAGTGATCTTCACCTGTCTCTTTTCACCATTGCAACACTGGACTAGGTTTGCAAGAAGGACCCAAATGTTCGGTGTAGATGAAATATTTTTTTGTGTTTTTTTGTTTGTTTGTTTTTGCCTGAAAACTAATGATAACAAAAAGGACATTGTGTGATTGAAAGTAATGACTCCGCCCCCCAATATAATGGCCTTCCTAGAAGTGGGTATTGAACAATTAAACCTAGTCCCCAGTTTTAATTGTAACTATGACATTTGAGGTACTTGCAAGAATTCTTTTCATTTCAAAATCCCATTAGACAGATCACATAGCAAAGACTGAGGCTACTTCCACATTACAAGGTTCAGGTTAGTTCAAGAAAATGGACACTATTCTCCCTCTTGGTTGCTCTGGTATCCAGCTATGGCTTCAGCAGCTTTCCAAAGCAGGACAATTTATAACTCCCTCACATGCTCCTCACCCACTATGAAAAAATCACTAGTAGGACCCTCATTCCTCACCTCTCTCAGTATCCATGTTCCTTGCCACATGACTGACAATTTCTCCCTGAAAATATTTATTTTCCTGCCCTTTGATACTGGGTTTGGTCATGTGACTTACCTTGATCAACAAAATGTTAACAGATTAATGACACAATCAGAAGCTTGCTCAGTGCGGCTTGTGCTGTGTCTCTGCCATCACCATGGAAGAATGCATGCAAGCTAACAGTTTGTCCCAGGGTGAGGATGAAGGACATGTAAAGCCAATCCTAAATCTGCCCAGTCTAGGTTAACTGATTGTCCCCACACCAACCTGCTGTAAGACACTGACATTTTGTGGTTCCTTGTAAGGCAGCATTATTGCAGCAACTGAGACAATCCCCATAGTCAAATTCACCTACAGTCTAAGAGTTAAAACACCACCTTTTACCTTTTTCAAGTAAGTTTCCCAACACAGAGTCCTTTACATTGCCAGCATTTATTCATAGATTCCATACCATATTCTAAATTCCCAGGGATGAATGAAAAACAAAACATAATTCCAGCCATTAATTTGTTCCTGTTAACTTTCTCCCATCCAGGATCAGGGTCAATGTACTTTTGCCCAAAGATGATTATAAAGTTTATGGAAGTAGACTAAGTCAATGAACTCTGAACCAGCCAAGTGTTATTTACCAAAGTACACCTAAAGTGGAATCACTATATCATTTAGTGATAGAAGGAACTGACATAACCATAGGGTTATAAGTTTTTAAACCTAGTCAATCACCAAAGCTTTCTAGATTTCTATCTATATATATTTGGCTGAACCCTGGCACAGGCCTAGGCATCTGTGTTGTTAACAAAAGTCTCAAAGTAATGTTGATGATCAAAAGAATTGGGGCCCTTCCCCACCTACTAGAACTCCTCCATCTCATAGTTGAATATCTTCTGAGTTTCACTAAACATTTGTGATGACATGAATAGCCTCAAAGTGAACACAGAAGAACTATCTCCAGAAAATCACACATGTCAGTTAGTTATTGTCTGCCTAACAAATTATTCCAAACCTCAGCAGCTTAAAGCAATATGTATTGATTATTGCTCATGAACCCATGGGTCTGGATTGTCTCCTCTCTGCTGGGTCCACTCATGTGTCTCCATTACTTGCAGGTCTACCATTGTCTCACATGTTTGATATAGGACTGCTGTCCACTGGGGTGACAAGGGTCTCTGGGTCACAGCAAATGAGCTCAGGAGGGACCACGTGGTGACAAGGCTGGATTCCAAAGAAGCCAGCAGAGGTGAGAGAGGGCTCTCAGAACCTAGGCTGGGGAGCAGTACACAAACACACTTTAGCTTCTGTTCATCCTGTTACAGGGCAGGGAGAGGGGCAGCCCAAACCCTGCAAACCTGCCTATTCTAAATGAGTTCTGTCATCCACCACATCAACACAAAACATGAGACTTTAATGGGAAGGAACTTTAATACAACTAGGAAACAATACAGGAAAGGCAAAGAATCTAGTTTCTAAATCAAGCACTCAAAGTTACCCGTCCCCTCGTGGGTAAAACTCCACCCAAATGGGATTGGCCCAGAGCAAGGCCCCAAACCCTGCCACAAGTCTAAAGCATCTTCCAGTGGGGACCCACAGAAAAGGGTCAGAAACAACCAGACAAGCCCGGAAGGAAAAGAGCAAAATCAAAATCAGGATAAAAGCTGCCATTGTCACCTCCCCATGGGTCTCACCCACATCTGTGTCACCCAGTCCACGACCAAAAGGCAAGTGCAGTTTCTTCACATGTCTCGAGGCCCCATGTGCCTCCTCCAGGTCTCCTGGCTCCCTTCTGCTTCCTTCCTCATTCTCCTCTATAGCTTCTTCTCTTCCTGCTCAGCTCCACCCTCTATTTGGGTGGGGCAGGGAACCTGGAACCTCCCCCTTTCCTGGGGACCACCCTGTTACAATCCCATTGGCCAGGGTAAGTTATGAATTCCAGATTCAGGGGCTGGGGAAACAGACTCCACCTCTCCATAAGAGGAGCTACAAAGTCAAAGTCACATCACAAGAGAAGCAGGGGAGGTGGGGATAAGAGGTCATTTTTGCAATCTATTATTAAAAATAATGGGGGAGGTGGGGAGATTGCCACCTCTGATCAATTGTGATTTCTACATGAAGACCAAAGTGTTCATGCTAATCTCAAAAATGAAATCCTCAGGTGGAAGCTTTTTCTGATATTCCTCATTTCTACTCCTACTGATACACATGAACACATCCTATTTAATCTTTAAGATCTCAGCTTGATCTAAAGCAAAAGCAATCTACTTAACTATCAGCACTATTTTATAGTATCCTTGGAGCTTTTAAAGATGATGTGTATGACATAAGGCTTTGTGAGGGCAACTCTGTGAGTCCCTTCCAGGCCTACAGAGGCAACGTGACCCATGATCATCAGGACTACATGCTCCAAAGGACCCCACAACATAAATATGAGGAGCACCAATAAGCAATTCAGAAATATCACAGGATAAAGGATAACACAGAAAACCAGCAAATACCCCGAGGGCCAGGAAGCTAGACCTCGATGAATATTTCAGGCTGATGCTAATTACATCTTAGCCACCAGCCTCTGGCTACGCCTCCTTTATGGCATTTCTCTACTTCACTCACCCTTGCCACAACTGTGGCCATTTAGGAAATGTACTGAAAAGACAGTAGCTCAATCCACAACTGTTTTCCCTGATCCAGGTTCTATGATGTTGCAGTCGAGCTGGCAGGTAGCAGCAGTTGTAGTATTTCTACAACGAAGGTGCTGCTGTCTGTTTTTGTGTGAAATCAACATGACCTTTCAGTGAGCTCCACTCAAATTCTTTAAACACCTACTTGTGAGGTCTGGGACAACAGTGGGTGGTAGAGAAAGGAATTCCAGAAACCAGAAAACACAGGCTGGCAAAGAAGGGGCTGGCCAGAACTAGGCAATGCCTAAAGGTTCCTTGGAGGGAATACAGAAGCGAGGTACAAAGTACCCGCTGCTCCAGTACAAAGATGTGATCAGCACGTGGTACGGTTCCCATTGTCTGGCCAGTTTTCAATCTGCTTGATAGGCTCGCTGCACTGCCTAAAAGACTACACAACAAGAACAGATAAAATATATATATATATATATATATATATATATATATATAAAATGAGGGCCTCCCTGGTGGTGCAAGGGGTTAAGCCACAACCTATGAAGCTATCTGCAGCCTCCGCAGCACGAGTTCTATCCCCCAGCCAAGGAGCTACCCACATGGCGCAGCAGACCTCTCCCGTCTCGCCCGCTGCTCCCCTCAGCAGTGTGTTTCAGTCAGTCTGCCTGTTCTGTTCCTCACTCTGTCTCTGGTGGATCCTCTCACCCCTCACAACTCTGGCCTGTACCTCAGTTCTTGTATTCATAAATAAATAAATCTTTAAAATATATATAATGAAACAAGCATAAGATTTACTATAAAGATGACTCAGAAAAGCCAAATTCAAGAAGATATTGTCTTCCACTTACCGTAAGAAGAAACCTTAGGAAGTGTGAAAACCTATAGAACAGGCCAACAATGGGAAGTGCTGCCCATGCCCTGCCAAACTGTATTCTACTGCTGAGTCAATGTCTGGAAGAGAAGTAGGTTTGGGAGGGATGGTAATGCTTTTATACTGTGATGTGTCACAGCCAAAGGACAAAGGCCTTTGAGGGCCAGGAAGGTGCTGTCAACTCCAGGAGCAGCTCACAGTGGCATCCACTGGTTTTGGATTCATCCCTGAAGAGTCACAAACCTAAACCTCACATTTCTAGTTAAAATCATCCCAATCTCCTCCTGCTCACCTGCTAACAAAATAAGTGACCTTCTTGGATGTCTAATGAGCTGGCTGATGGGGCTGCTGTCAATCTACATTTTTGATTAATTAGCCAGGCTTATAGCCAAAGCTATAAGCAAGCAAGCTACTGGCATTATCACCACAGGCACATGGTTAATGACAATGATGAAGAATTAGTTCCTTTCTGCATGACATCCTGTACTTTCCTGGGGCTTTGAAGAGAGGTATACAATCCTAGAGGATTTGCACTCTGTGGTCTTCTCCACTTCAACACACACGCATGCAGACTTTATGCCCTTCTTACATGCCAGGAAGTTCAGATGTGTCATGTTGGTAGACTGAATTTTAGGGCTATTGTTTACTGCTGCTGTATAAAGCTAGATATGCTCAGTGCAGGCTGCTCTTTTCAGGGAAGCATTAAGTTGCCTCAAAGCAGTGCCAGGAAAATCACCTGCGCTGCATCCTGCAGAGACACCTGGGCACACCTTGCATGTGTGTCACAGAAGTGCTGCCAGTCGAGGCCATTCTGCTAGAAAACCCTTAGTTCATCATCTTGGCACTATAAGGTCATCACAGTGTCACGGCTCGAGGCTGTTATGGAAACAGGGCTCTCTGAAATGTACTATAGTAGTGTAGTATAAAATTGATGCTATGCATAGTCTTATCTTTCCTAGAATTTGGGGTGGGACTCCTCCTCAGGTATTAAAGTTTGGGCATGGTCAGGAGCCAGAGGCAGTTTTATTCCTTCACATGCCAGTGCAATCAACAGCTTGTGTTTAGAATAAATATTTGAAACTCAAAAGCCTGTTAACAATGCAGCGCTTGACTGCTCTGAATTACTCTCTCACCCACAGCCATTGAGGGAGAAGTTCTTGGCACCAGCCCTACGCAAGAAAACCTGCTTTCCAGCCTCCTCCATTGCCTTCCGAGCCTCCCCTCAAAGGGTTCTCAACACACCATACAAAGATCTCAGTTTTCTCCCTCAAATACCACATGAATCCCACATTGAATATTACTTTTTCCCCCACCCAGAGCACCACAGATTTCATTCAAAATCTCCATGTTCATGTTTAATTAGGCCAGCTTCTCTTTAACTCTTTTACTCAAAGCCTCTTCTGGCATTTATCATTCAATATTGCAATCTTTTAAACAGGGTTTTTATTTGCTTGTTTTGTTTTGGACAAAACTGTCCTCTTGATCTCTTTTAAAGCTAAGGTAGCAATTAAGCTACTTTTCAATTAGTCAGAGATGCCCAGATATTAAAATGCCCACAATCCTTAGCACTTTCCCTTCCTCAAATCCTATTTGGTAAGCTATGTGCCCCCCACTGCCCCCTGCCCCCACTACCACCCCCTGCCCCCCCTCTACTCCCCCCCTAGGGCTGAAGGGGTAAGTAGTACTAACCAGAGGTAATTAGTATGTTAAGTTTGGTCCAAGGGCAGGCTATCAGGTTACAAGTTCTAATAAACCCTGCTGGGAAAAGGCATTTCTTTGTCTCAGAACTAACCAACTAACCAAACAAAACACCTTCAATTCTACCAGAAACCCTCCTATCTAAACAAAATAAATGGCATCTCGACTAAATCCCATCGAAACAGCGGGAAAGAAAAGCCCACACCAGAGTAATTAAAATGAATGAAGTGGCCCCACTGCTGGCAGCCCTTACCACAGGGAGCGCAGGACCCCTGCAGACCCTCACCGGGGCTCAGAATCCTCCTGGGGTGGGGTGAGGGCGGTGAGGGGTCCAAGACTTGGGTGTGGGTGCAGGTAAGCTCTTTGCATGCTTGACCGGGACTCTCAGCCATCTGCCTGCCTGTCTGCCACTCCGTCCTCTTGTCTGGGTGGGAAGGGCCAAGATAAAAAAAAAAAAAAATGAGCAGGTTACTCACTGGTCTTCCCAGGCTGGGCACACCCAGGAGGAGGGAGAGGCCAGGCGCAGGCAGGGAGATTCTTCCGAGGCTGTATGAGAGATCTTGCTTCTGATTCCTTTTGTTAGTACTTCCTGAACTTTAAACTGGATCTGCAAAGGCATGAGTACTTTGGGAAGGCAAATAACACTCGGGTAATTAGATTCCCAGAGCTTAATGCAAAGGTTACTTTGTTCTAAAGCAGTGCTTTAGAACACATACTTTAAAGTTTAACCCTGAAATGTGTTTCCACTGTGCTAGAGCATTAACGCTGTCACAGGAAATGAGGCCAAGGGGCTGCCCTGGTTCAGGGGCATGCAATGGTCTGGAGCAGGCAAATCTGATTGTGACTTACACAATGAATTTCTCTATCATTTAGGCTCTAAGTTTTAGAGAAACAGGATTCTCAAGAGTTTCCCAGGTCTGAACTTTGCATTCTACTAGAGGTACATTCCTGAAGTTGGTTATCTAGAAATCACGGTTTTGTAAATGGTTTCACACTGAAAATGCAAGACCTCGTTACTTGATAGCTGCCTTCCATAAATACTGAAATGAAGGCTTTCACACATGGAGGGATCCCTCAGTCACCTGTCTGTTTTTTAAGCGTGGGTGTTCATGAACAAAGGCAGAGCAGTACCGTAGGGGAAGCTGGAGCAATGCAGCTGAGCGTGAGCAGAAAGGAATTAACACAGAGCAGCACTGACGGGACCAGGCACTTATTAAATCCTGTAACTACCCAGACAAGGGAGGTATCATTCTTTCCCCTTCACATCTCAGTCCACTGGAGCTCAGAGGTTGGGTGGTGTTTTGCAACCATTCCAGGCTGGGTAGGTTCATCATCAGGTGAAAAGATAATTTTGGAGACTTTGGTGGATTTTTATTAGGCCTTTATTGCTGAATCAGGGGACAGACCAGCTTTCCCTCTCAGTATCTTTCTGGCGGTCTCCTCTCTGTAGTTGTGCCGACTCAGAGTGGCACCATCCTTACATCCCCTCGCCCCTCATCATGGGTGTCCCTATTTACATATGTGCACACTCCGTGCTCTCTGGGTCCATGTGTCCATAATTATAGGTGTGCGTGCAAGGCCACAGGTGCAGGTCATAGACGGTGGGAGGGTATAAAAGCCTGATTTTTTGCACATTTACCCTTCAGGTGGCCTCAGGAATCAGCCAGTGTGCAGACGGTGCACCCAGCATTTGGACACAGTTTGCCCAAATCTGAGACTCTGTGTTATAGTCTCACCAAGTCACCAGGCATGTCTCCCCCTGTTCACTTCTCTTCCACTTGCCACTGGACTAAAACTAGGTCACATGTTCATAAATCTTTATACTATTTCAAACACTGATATGGCATGGTGTCTAATTCTGCAGGATGCCAATAGGTACAAAAAATGTAGAAAATGTACTAGAACGGGTTCTCGACTGTAAATTCTCACAACTCTAATATGCAAATATATATCTTAGCTCCCAAGCTCAGGACAGAGAGTGCTGTTTCCATTCCCCAGTTTCCCCAGACACCCTCCTTGGGAGGAAAGGATCTTTTGGGCTATTGTACTTTTGTACTCCTCTCCTGCATCTCAATACTTGTGTTCTCCCCCAGTACAATGGCGTTGGGGTGGGGCCTTTGGGAGGTGATTAGGTCATGAGGGCAAAGCTCCCAAAAATGGAATTAGTGCTCTCAAAGAGGAGATTCTGCAGAGCTGGCAGCCTCTGCACTCAATACGTGAGGATACAAACAGTTTGCACCCCAGAAGAGGAGCCTCACCTGCCCACGCTGGCGCCCTGACCTCAGACTTCCAGCCTCCAGCACCATGAAAAATAAATTCTGTTGTTTCTAAGACACCCAGTCTGTGCCATTTTGTTATAGTAGCCTGAATACAATAAAAACACCTTTTTTGGAAAAAAAAAAAAAAAAACTATGACAAAAAATATTAAATAGTATGTAGGAGTATAAAGTAAAAAGTAAAAATCTACCTTTTTAAAAATAATAACTAGTCTCATTCCCCAAAGGTAACACTGTTAGAAATCTTGTGTCTCTGCCTCAGAAACTGTTATGTGTATAAAGCATATACAGATACCCATTTAAAAATACAGCAGTCTCTCCCTTATCCTCAAGGCCAACCCACCCAGTGAATGCCTGAAACCTCAGATAGCACCAAACCTTATACATGCTCTTTCCTATACATACAGACCTATGATCAATTTATGAATTAGGCACAGTAAGAAAATAGCAACCACAATAATAAAATGGAACCATTATGTCATTATTCTCTTATAAAGGTTCTGTGAATGTGGTCTCTCTCTCATAGTTGAACTTAATATTTTCAAATCCTGGGTGAAATGGGTAACAAACTACAGAAAGCAAACCCAGAGATAAGTGGATACCACTGTCACATAGCCAGGATTGAGTGTATCCATGACGTGTTAGTTGGCACTTTTTAAAAAACTTAATGATACAGTGGAGACATTCCATATCAGCATATCGAATTGCTACTGGCAAGGAAGAGTCAAGAAAAGCAAAAGCAGATCTATAATAAAGATTGACCACTTCCTAAAAGGGTCCCCCTATGTGGCTCACAGGATGCTTCACGATGGAATATCAGGGCAGCCGTCTCCTTCCTTTTCTGGCTATAGCTATGGAAGGCTCCATACCTGACACTGATGTACAGGATGGGGAGGAACCAAAGACCAAAGTTGCACCCCAGGCCACTGTGAGAAGGATCTGATGAAGTGCAGTCACCATTTACAGAGCAGGTTCATTGTTAACAGGCTCTTGTCTTGTGGGTTCTGCTCCAATACCTCACCTTGGCTTCTTATAAATTCCCGACATGATCAGTAAGATCTTGAAAAAACAGAGCCACAATAAATCTCAATCATTTCCATGATGCAGAGATTTCAAAATTGGCTCCTACAACCTTTTTACTAATGAATGAAATGATTTTCAGACAATATGTGGGTCCTCCCTGAGGGCACATACCTGTCCTAGTGTCTCAGCCATGACACAAAATTCAAATGTGCATCCCCATAGTGTGTAGGGATGCAGAACAGAGTGTGTCATGAATCTTATGTGATGTTAATATGGTTAGAACAAGCACCAAATATTTAATTAGAAATAGCTTTCCCTAGAATTGCAAAGGTCATTTGAGGAATGATTTGACTCATTTCTCTCAGAACACTGTCTAGAGAAATGTAAATCAATACGTTCTTATTCTCTTAATATATTTTTCTGTAAATGCCAGAGAGCCTTTGAAATCAGTCTACTGGGCTATTTACCCCAACCTTGTTGTGGGAGCATCTCCGTAGTTTGAGAAATCACCCAAGGCCGTTGCTTGATTTGGGGTGTCTAGGCTTTGACCTGATCCTCCTGCCAATCAATCATTATTTCTTTCTTTCTCTTCACTTTTGCTCATCTTGTAACAGGGTGGTCCCCAAGAAAGGAGGAAGTTCCAGGTTCCCTGCCCCACCCAAGGGAGGGTGGAGCTGAGCAGGAAGAGGAGAAGCTGCAGAAGAGACTGAGGAAGGAAGGAAGCAGGATGGAGCCGAGACCTGGAGGAGGCGCGTGGAGCCTAGAGACAATGTGAAGAAACTGCGCTTGTCTTTTGGTCGTGGACTGGGTGACACAGATGTGGGTGAGACCCGTGGGGAGGTGACAATGGCAGCTTTTATCTTGATGTTGATTTTGCTCTTTTCCTTCTGGGCTTGTCTGGTTGTTTCTTTTCTGTGGGTCCCCACTGGAAGATGCTTTAGACTTGTGGCAGGCTTTGGGGCCTTGTTCTGGGCCGATCCCATATGGATGGAGTTTTACCCACGAGGGGACGGGTAACTTTGGGTGCTTCATTTAGAAACTAGACTCTTTGCCTTACCTGTATTGTTTCCTAGTTTTATTAAAGTTCCTTCCCATTAAAGTCTCATATGTTTTGTGTTGATGCGGCGGATGGCAGAACCCCTGTAGAATAGGCAGGTTTGCGGGGCTTGGGCTGCCCCTCTCCCTGTCCTATAACGATCTCTCTCTCTCCACCCAACTTCCCAGGCAAGGAAAGTCTTGACAGTAAAGTAACAGAGACAGACTGAAAGACTTGCTAGAGGACTTGCATTTTTTAAATGCAGTTACAGTTTTAAAAAATACTTTGCAGTTTACTCTAAAAGATAAAAAAAATGGGGAACTTAACTAATCCCTCCTCCAGCTTTGACATCTACCCCAATATTAGACTGTAACTTTGAGCACAGGCTGAGAACATGACAGAAATTTATTCATTTTGGGGGTATTTGACCCTTTCTTGTCCTCTGTTTAGCATAATCTTCATGTCTAATGCTTTGTGCCTGATTCTCAGTTAAATTCATCAAAGACCATCCATCCAGAAAGATGTCTACACCTGGCACAGCCCCAAGCTGACATATGCACACAGAAATGCTGGCTTCGCTGCTCTGCAGCAGGAGACATGCAGGAACAGCAGCAATCGAAGACAGGCAAGGAAGCTTCACTTTTGCTCTGCTCAAGTCACAGTTCAGAGTTACAGCTTCCTGGTCTCTCAAGTGAGGATAATTTCATTTACCTAACAAGGCTGTGAGTGCACATTAACTGAAAGAAGTCTGTAGAACATTTTGTAAATGGCAAAGGACTGCACAAATGTCAGATAGTGACCATCACTGCTACGTATGTTCATTTAAGTGAGCAGTAAAGCTTGGTAACTAGTTAACAGGAACCAAGTTGCTTTGGCTGCTCGTGGTCCCCAGCCATGGCCCTGCTGTTCCCAAAGTAGGTCCATCAGAATAACTGGCAGGAAAGCACAATCCTATCAACAGTAGAAAATGGACCAGATTATTTTCATGTGGTCACAGACCTTTTCCTCCATTCATCTTGCTGTATCAGACCTTCTAAACTATTTCCTTTTAATATATTTCTGCAACTAGTTTAAACATTTTGTTATGAAAATTATCAAATGAGAGAAAAGTAGTGTCACAAGACTCCATATATATATATATATATATATATATATATATATATATATATATAGTACCAGCTTCAACAATTATCAATTCATTCAAATCTTGTTGCATGCATATCCCTAACCCACTCTGGATTATTCTGGAGAAAATTACTAGTATCATTTTATTAATTCTATTAATAAATTAATAAGAATTAATTTTATTAATTCTGCAAGTATTCCTAGAGGCTAGGGATTCTGTTTGTAAATATAACCAAAATGCTATCACATTCAGAAATGAACTATAATTACTTAAACATTGTTTAATATTTGATAAATATTAAACATTTTGGGTGATTTTTTGGTAGTTCAAATCAATCCTACAATTGGTTGATAAATGCTATTTTTTCCATCTAAAGGTGCTTTTCACATGTTATTTTCCCTTAATTTATTGCTAAAACACCAGGTTCTTTTGTTATGTAGATTGTCACACAATTCACTCCTTGAGGATAGTTTGATTTAACACATTTATCTATTCCTGTTTTTTTTCTGTGAATTCATAGTTAAATTTAGAGGTTTGATCAAGTTCAGATTCGATTTTTAGAGAGAATAGTTAGTTGCTAAGTGGTCCTGTGTACCTTAATCAGAGCTCAACTTATATACGATTATCTCTGATTTGGATGCTTAGCAACCACCTAGAATCAGGACCTGAGTATTACTTCATAGGGATTAGGAAATCATGATTTTTCTCCCATTACTTCTTAACTGGTAGGCTACTGTTATTAAGAGTTTACATTTGTCTAAAATGAGAGCATGTGTTTCTCACTTCTGTTTTTGGCTGTGAGGTGTTACATTAAATAATCTGTTACTTTTATCTATATATTTCATTAAATCTATTATGCTAAAAAGATGACTTGGTTAAATTTAAAAAGGCAGACTTTGGGGGAAAACAACTAGAAACATTAATCAGAAACCTTCAATAAAAGGGTAGAGAAGATCTGTCCACACAGTACATTGTTGAGATTCAAACTTGAATCTGACCCTTGTGAACTCCATGAACTTTGGTCAAATTTTTAACATTCTTATCCTACAGTCATGTCATTTCTGAAATGGTGATAATAATAAAATATTTATAATAATAATAAATAGCCTGTGGCTTTGTGAGGATTCATGATAAAGTATCCAAAGAGCCTGTTCTGATATCCAAAAAATAGGAGACTCTCAACAGCTGACAGTTACTACTAGTTTCTCAGTTGTGTCCCCGGCACCCAGTACAATGCCTGGAAAACAGCAGCTGCTGATATATGTTGGGTGAGTAAAGGGTGGATTGGCTTAACTTTGTCCCAAGCCTGCGATGACTTTATTTCAAGTTCCTGGGGATACAGAAACAAACAAAACAGTCTCTACTCATGAATTTACACCTAATTATATGCAGGAATGGAAAAGGGCATTATTTGCTTCCAGGTGAATTAGTCCCATCAGCTATTTTGAAAATAAGTACTACTGGTAATCACAGGGCTAGGCAAGAGAGGGAAGTAAGATGAACTTAACTACATCATTAGAGAAGGTATCAATTTTCACTAAAAGAGAGACTTATTTGTACTGTTATTAACTGTGAGTTTGCCTGGGGTGTGTTGAAGGCTTTCCAGTGTTGTGGTTTGAGTTTCATCCCTTCAAAAGGTTGGTTCAACCTGTGAGTGTGACCTTATTTGGAAATAGTCTTTGCAACTGTAATCCAGTTAAGATGAAGTCATATCGGCTTGGGGGGGCTCTAAATCCAACCATGGGTGTCATTATAAGAAAGTGCATAGTGGGCCTCCCTGGTGGGGCAAACTATCGGTTTGCCACTGCAGCACGAGTTCGATCCCTAGCCAGGGAGTTAATCACGTGGCACAGCAGACCTCTCTTGTCTCACCTGCTGCTTCCTCAGCAGTGTATTTCAGTACATCTGCCTGTTCTGCTCCCCACTCTGTCTCTCTGGTGAACCCTCTCAGCTCTACCCCCTGCACCTCTGGCCGACACCCCCTCTTGTATGCATAAATAAATAAAAGTGCATAGAGACACAGATACACAGGGAAGAAGACCAATTTATTTGTTATAGAATTGTGAAGTGGAGGCAGAGGTTAGAGTCCTGCTGCCAGGAGCCAAGAATTAGCCAAGGATGGCCAGTAATCATTAGAGAAGGTGAGGAAGGAATCTTCCTCACAGTCAAGGGAACATGGCCTGACTGACACGCTGATTTGGGATTTGTAGCCTCCAGAACTATGAGAATACATTTCTTTTCTTTTAGGCCACCCACTTTATGGTATCTTGGTACAGTGCCCTAGGAAACTCACACACCCAGGGATTCCAGACCAAGGATGTGCACAGCTCAGCCACCTGTGTCTTAAAGCCTACCTATAAATTGGCTAGTGGGAAAGAGAGGAGAGCGGCTGGGAATCCCAGGAGACACTGTATCAATGTTAATTCCCTTCCATCAACTGAGCCTGTGATTGACTCTTCAAAGCTGTGCAAGTACCAACAGGTAAGTCAGCTTTACTTGAAAAGCAGGTAAGCCGAAGCCACAAAACTTGTTGGCACTGATACCTTGGGAATGAGGGTGCTCTTTGTGGAGGTTGGCAAGAGGCAAAGGGGAAACATTCACATCATCCAGGCAGAGTGGGGGAGCACCCTCCACCAGCACCAACCTGTCAATCCTTATTCTCTCAGAGGGAGGCCCAACTGTCTAGTGGAGATGCTTCCCAGCTCTCCCCCAGCTGCCCAACCTCCACCCCAGCCTTGCTCAGAGAGAAAGGGGAGTTAGGATACAGTAGAGGTGCTGGCAGGCAAGAGGCGCTGATTTAGCACCCCTTAGACATCACAGTCTGGATATATACAATAGTAAATGGTGCTGCTGACCACGTACAAATGCTCCTAAGCCCCCTTTGTGTGCCAGGCACGGGACTGAACACTGGAGAGATGAAGAATGAGCTATATAGTCTTTGATAAATTGTGTTGGGAATATGGGATTGCTTTTTATTTCCCTCTTAAAATATTCTTTATTATAAAACTTTTATGGTGAAATGCTTAAAATTAAAACCCTGATCTAATCTTTTAAAAGATATATTCCATGCATTTATTCATAATGTAAGTGCATTTTTTTACAACATTGCTCAATCATCAGCAAAACGGAGCACTAGGTGCTCAGGGAGGCGGTGTCTGGCCCCTCCTCCCCCATTTACCCTCACCCACCTCGCACTCCAACACTAGGTCAGTAGCACATGAATTAGCACTTAATTGGTGGCTAATTATTTCAGGTGTGCTAGTTTTATTTTCCCAGATTCCCTCCCCCAGGGCATACATCACCTTGTCACACTAGCTGTGAGCACCTACTCAAAGCCCACCATGCCCCAGGGTTAGCTAGCTCTCCAGATGGGACTTCGCAATCCACTTTTCTTACCTTTCTGGAAAACGAGCCATAACAAGCTGCCTTGTGATTATGTCAGGACAAAGGAGGAAGCAGAAGAGACTATGACTCAGATTCCTGCTCACCTTTGGGGTCTGCTTAGTCGCTTCCTATTGGTTCACTCTGAAATGGCACCACCAAGACCGTCAGGCAAAATATGCAAGTGGGACTAAGGGTTCCAGCCGTGAGGCACCAGCACCTGGGAAAATATGCGTCTGTGCGTGTGCACACGTGTGTCCTGGCAAGTGAACACCTGAAGGCTAGAGCCACTAAACCTTTCTTAGGTAGAAGCAAAAAAAAAACCAAAAACAAAAAAAAAATAGACTTTTTCTTTAACTTCTAGAATTTTATTGTTCCTTTGTGACTGTCACAGATGCTTTGACTAGTGCTGGAAGCAGCAAGGATTGGGCCCCATCCATCTTTGGAAATGCAGGTAGAAGTTGTATGATGTGCCAGACAATATGATGAGTTATTTATAATTGTTCTTTGTTTATTCCATTCAGAGGCTCTACCAGCTAGTACTCACACTGTTTGTATTTAGAAACTGTCTAGAAGGGGCAGATCCAGTCCTGGGGCCTTCAGCACAGAATTC